GCTATGAGAGGATTCAAGCATCAGTTAAGGAGGTAGACTAGAAAGTGCTCTCCAACTTTGAGATTGTATAATTCACCAATTACATTTTTCACGTTTTCATGTTAAAACAACCAGAACAGGAGTTCCATTAAGGCAGGGATCATTTCTTGTGCTCCTTATGTGTTGCTCACTGTCTTTAGTGTAGAGTTCACAACATTCTAAATACTCAAAAAAGACCTGCTTTACTAAGTCACTGACATAAGCAGCAAGCATGGTTGTAAATATGGCCTGCCTTTTTCAACTTTTCTCTGTTTATTAGCAATGGAGTTGAATGGAAGCAAGACAACCCTAGATGGCAGCATTGCCTCACAGGTTCATGGTTTATTTATTTTGAGGATTAAAAAAGTATTTAAATTCATCAATGAAATCAAGCTTCCCCTCCCCATCTTTTTCAGTCTTCTTTCTCTTCCCACTCCATCAGCCTTTTCCATTGGTTGAGGGTGGATGGAAAGGCTGTAAAAAGTCCTCAGAAGAACTCACAAATGCTCATGGATATATGCAACACACTGTTGCAAAGGAAAAAGAAAATTCTGTTCTGTGCACCCCTCCCACCAAAGAATCCTTTTCTAGGCTGATGCTTCTGCTCCACTACACAGGATGCCATACCTCGGACATCCTCACCACTAAACAGTGGATATATTCCAGTTGAGTATGGAGTAGTGAAAAGTGCCTCGGACTTTAGAATCAAGAGACTCAGAGCACAACACTAAAACATCATTCTTTCTCTTAATGTTACCACCCCAGATTTAGAGATGGTGAGGTAGTTCTATTTTCTATAAAACTTTATCTTGCTGTTTTTCACCTAAAGTCCTTCCATGAATTCACCTTATACTTTGGTTTATCAATTACTCCTTTTCTCTTGCTTCTTCAATCTCTCTCTGACCACTGGATTCTTTTTATCAGTCTACAAACAGGTATGTCTCCCCTATCTTGAGAAAGCTTTCTGCTGGCCCAGCTAATCCTTTCGGGTAGTTAGGTGGTGAAGTAGACAGAGAGCTGGACCTGGAGTCAGAAAGACTCATCTTCCTGAGTTCAAATGCTGCTTCAGACACCTACTGTGTGACCCTCCACAAGTTACTTAATGCTGTTGGCCTCAGTTTTCTCATCCATAAAACAAGCTAGAGAAAACCACTCCAGGATCTTTGCCAAGAAAACCCCAAATGGGGTCACAAAGAACTGGACATGATTGAACAACAAATCCCTTTAGCTTCCTTATTTCCTCCCCTCCTTTTGCACTTAAATTTACTGAATGAGTGGTATACACCCACTGTTTCTACTTCTCTACCCACTCTCTCCTCAGCCACTTACAAAGTGCTAACCTATTATTACTAACCTATTACATTATATTACAAACCTATTACACTATTGAAACTCTTCTTTTGAAAATCATCAGAAACCTCCTAATCACTAAACCCAGGGACCTTGATCAGTTCTCATCCTTCTTGACTCTTTTGTACTTTGTAGTAAATGATACTATTTACCGTCTTCTTCTAAAAACTCTTTCTATTTCCTTGGTTTCTCTGCCTCCATTATCCTGGTTCTCTATATTTCTCTACATATTCTCTTTCTGTCTTGTCACTAGGTTCTCTTCCTCCTCCTACCTGAAAAATATGAATGTTCACCAAGGTTGCTAGTTCTTTCAAGGTTCTGAAGACTGCTTATTTCAGAAGTCCTGGTGAGGCTTCTGAAATAGTTTGCTAATACTATTAGCTTATAAGCTGACATGGATTTATATCAATAATCTTCTTTAATAAATAGAATTAATAATAAGACAAGGATATCCCCTGAATCAAAATCTTTGCTGATATTTCATAGAAAATGTCTTGTATTTGCTCTTCCTCTTTATTCTCATTTCCACCACCCTAATGATACAATAATAATACAATAATCTAATAATACAATAATACAATAACCCTTACCTCACACCTGGATAACTGCAACATGATTCTAGTGGGCCTCTCTGAGCCTCAGCTTTCCTCCCTTGAATTCATCTAACATTCTTGCAGGTTTGTTTCCATGAGCTCTTATTGCCAGGGCCTTGTGACCTCTGACACAGGCATGCCCAATACACTAGGAAGGGGCTTAGAAGTTTTTGTCCAAGATGCAGTTAATCTTGTGACATAGTGTTATAGTTGCCAAGCTGTTAGTATTTTCTGTGCCCAAGAACTCAGGCAGTATATGGTATAGCCCAGTATATAAGAATTCACAGGAACACACAATACAAAGAAAGTTATATAAACATCTAGACACACAAGAAAAAAACACAGCAAACTCCTATATCTGAACCACTCCCTTCAAACAAATTACAAAATGTTAAAGCTGGAAGGAGCCTTAGAAATTCTTTAGCCCAGAGGAGTTAAACTTGAGGCCTTTGCTGCCAAACAACTCTTTTTTTTTTTTTGGCTAGGCAACGGGGTTAAGCGACTTGCCCAATGTCACACAGTACCACACAACCTTGATTGCTGCCCATACCAGATGAAAATGTAATTGGGAAATGTTGCAATCAATCAATCAATAAACATTTATTAAGTGCCTACACTGTGCTAAGCACTAGGGATACAAAAAGAGGCAAAAGACAGTCCCTGCCCTCAAAGAGCTTGCAACCTAATGGCAGGACATCATGCAAACAAATATATACAAAGCAAATTATATACAAGATAAATAGGAAATCATTAATAGAGGGAAGCCACCAGAAATAAGTGGGATTAAGGAAGGCTTCCTGTAAGAAGATGGGATTTTAGTTGGGACTTAAAGGAAGCCAGAGAGGTCAGTAGTTTGAGTTATGGAGGTAGAGCATTCTAGGCATGGGAGATAAGCCGAGAGAATACCCAGAGTCAAGAGATGGTATGTATTGTTTGTGGAGCAGCCAGGAGGCCAGTGTCACTGGATCGAAGAGTATGTATTGGAGAGTAAGGTGTAAGAAGACTGGAAAAACAGGAGGGGTACTAGGTTATGAAGGGCTATGAATATCAAACAGAGCATTTTGTATTTGTTCCTAGAGGCAGTAGGAAGCCACTTAAGTTTATTGAGAAGGGGGTTGACATGATTAGATCTGTGCTTTAGAAAAATCATATTAGTGACTGAATGGAGAGAATGTATTGGAGTGAGGACAGACTTGAGGCAGGCAAGCCCACAAGTAGGCTATTGCTATAATCCAGGCCTTGAGATGATGGGGGTCTGCACTAGAAGGGCAGCAGTGTCAAAGGAGTGAAGGGGGTATATTTGAGAGATGTTGTACAGGTGAAATCGACAGGCCTTGGCAATAGTGTATGAATAGGGGGTGAGTGAGAAGATATGAGTGAGGAATACAGGATGACTCCTAGGTCTTGAGTCTGAGGGACTGGGAAGATGGTGTTGCCCTCTACAGTAATAGGGAAGGTAGGAGTCAGGGAGGGTTTGGGGAAAAGATAGTGAGTTCTGTTTTGGACATATTGAGTTTAAGATGTCTACTGGATGTCCAGTTCAAGATGTCTGAAAGGCAGTTACAGATGACAGATTTGAGGTCAGCAGAGATTTTGGGGAAGGACTGGTAGATTTGAGAATCATCAACATAGAGATGGTAATTAAATTTTGGGACCTGACATGATCACCAAGTGAAGTAGTATAGAAGGAGAAGAGAAGAGGGCCCAGGACAGAATCCTGAGGGACACCTATGGTTAGAGGGTAAGATATGGGGGAGGATCCAGCAAAGGATACAGAGAAGGAGCAATTAGATAGGTAAGAAGAAAACCAAGAGAGAGTAGTGTCCCAAAAACCTAGAGAGAAAAGTATCAAGGAGGAGAGAGTGATCAATAGTGTCAAAGGGTGAAGAGAGGTCAAAGAGAATGGGTAATGAGAAAAGGCTATTGGATTTTGCAACTAAGAGATCATTATTAACTTTCGCTGGAATGGTGAGGTGAAAAGCTGAATTGTAAGGGGTTAAGAAGAGAGTGAAAGAAGAGAAAGTGATTCTCTTTCAATCTACTGATTGTAGATGACATTTTTTAGTTGTTTAGCTATGAAGGACAGAAGAAGAAAAAGATGATAGCAGAGCTGGAAGGATCAAAAGAGGGCTTTTTCAGGATAGGAGAAATGTATTTGTAGTCAATAGAAGAGATTGAAAGTAAGTGAAAGGAGGGATGACAGAGAAGGCAATCTGTTAGAGGAAACAGGATGAAATGCAATCACTTGAGCAGGTAGAAGGTAGCCTTGCTAAGGAATAAGGCCATCAAATCATGTGATACAGGTGTGAAGGAAGAGACACTAGAAGAAGGCATCTGAATGATGGGAAATGAGGAAGAGAGGAGAATAGGGAGTTCATGGTGAATGGCCTCAATTTTTTCTGTTATAAAGGAGGCAAGGTTCTCAGCCAAGAGAGTGGGACGAGGGGATCCATGAGGGGTTTGAGGAGGGATTAAAAAGTTTGGAAGAGTTCCCGTGGAGAATGGGATAGCAAATTTCTTAAAAAAAAAAAAGTATATTAGGATTGCCTAGCAGCAGTGAGAACCCAGTTGAGATTATATAACATAAATCTGTAGTTGACTCAATCATAACAGTAATGTGATTTTCTCCACCTTCATTCAGCAGCATGTGTATAGGTGGGAGAGAGCCAAGGCTGAGGCTTGACTATCCTTTAGTCCTAGTGTTTCTTTCGTTTCAAGCCTGGAATCCTTGAATTTCCCTCTTGCAACTTTTCAAAGACTGAAATCCCATCCCTGAAATCATGTATCTACCTACTGTCATACTTCCCTGTCGCCAGCTGCCATTCTGTTCAAACTTCTGCCTGCTGACAAGTCTGCAAGACTTATGGCAAGAGCTCTCCAACACCATCTAAATGGACTTCTTCCTACTGTCTCCTTCTGAGACCTTCTCTGATCCCCTGGTGTGCCTTTGAGGGTCTGCCTGGTCTCCAGGTCTTAGCCACCTCCATTCTGACCCATTCTGCTGCTGACTAAATCTCAGTAATGACACTGTGTAGGTACCTCTCAGGGTCAGGTATCCATAAGCCAGGTTGGTTAATGCTTGGGCATATCTCCAGTGATCAGTTCCAAAAACAATTCGGGAAAATGTAACGCAGCGAATCAGTTCCTGGTTTGCCTGGTAGTTCTGAAAAGAGCAAACAAGAAACCATTATGTTTATTGTAAAAATAAAAATTGCCTAATGGCCATCTCATTTCAGTAATGAATGGCAACATTCAACTATGTGAATGAGGACAAGGTAAAGAGCTTTGTGCCCCTGTGGAGCAAATACAAGCACTGGCCTCCCCCTTCAACCCACCTGGTTCATGGCTTTAAAGGAAAGTAAATGGGCTAAAAAAAATATGACTATACCAATAGATACTTCTGTGCCTTGGTATTCTGGAAGCAGCTCAGAACCAGGAGTCAGAAGACCTGGTATATGTCAGTCCATAATGTAGGCTGACCCAAACCATTCTGCATAAAAGCCATGTTTTGATCTTCTCTGCCTCAACTACTAATACTGCTTAATATGGAAGATGACCCTTGTTTTCCTTGGTGCAACACCAGCCCATTTAGTAGCAAATTAAACAGAAAGCTGGGAAAAGCCCTTTCAGCTGAAGTAACTAAAAATCTGTATGAAATAAAAATAAAATGACCTGTAATCCATCCTAAATTCCAAGTTTTGTATCGGTAATACTTTACCTTAAAAAGTCAATATTACACACCATGAAATGTGGGTACCTGTCTAACTCTGGAAACTCCTAACCCAAAATTGTGAAATCTTAGCAGATCAAGCCAACGACAAGAACAATACTTTCTTCTACCTTGTCTTGAGAGGAATCTGGACCTCTTTGTTGTCAATACTTAACCAAGAAAGTATATTGAGATAGTGAAGGTAATGTAAAGAATGCTAAATATAGAATGGGAAAATCTAGGTTCAAATCCTAGCCCCACTACTTTTGTCCTTAGTCATTCTGACTCTTCGGGTTTCAGTTACCTCATCTGTAAAATGGGTGAGTTGACTTAGATGATCTCTAGGATCTCTTCTAGCTGTAAATCTATGATTCCATGAGAGCTTCTCTGATTATGTAAAACCCAGAAAAAGTTCACCCCTACATTCTGATTGCCTGTTTTATTCTGCTTGGTCTCCTGAAATTTGAGAACTTACTCATCTTGCCTAACAAGGCCTGGTTGTTCTTCTCCTTTGCCTTGACTTCTAGGTTTCTAGACTACTGGTTCTCTAATGCTCCTAAGTAACTAAAGCAGCAGCGGGGAACCTGCAGCCTGGAGGCCACATGTGGCCCTCTAGGTCCTCAAGTGCAGCCCTTTGACTGAATCCAAACTTCATAGAACAAATCCCCTTAATAAAAGAATTTGTCCATCAGGGAGCCAGACCTCTATCCTCTTCTTTCCTGGTTCTGACCTCTTGGCCCGACTAACTTGACCTTGTTGACATTTACGATCAATATGAACAGAGAGATGAGAAGATGAAAGATAAAACAACTAAAAAGAAAAAAAGAACCCAAAATTTGTTTCTGAGTTTGGTGATGGGGAATACAAGCATTCTCGGTAGTTCTATACCATGGATCCATTAAATCAATTATGAAAACTACTAAAATAATTTTAAAATGTAAATGAAAAGCTAGTATAAGACTTTTTTTTTTACCTTTTTTGCCTTAATCAGTGACTCAACTTTTCTCTGTGATTTGTTTAATTTCTCCTTTGGAATAGATATATAATCTGCATTCCTTGCTACCTTGTCAGTTTCATCTTCTTTGTCTTCACTATCTCCAAATTCATCACTAGGATTTGATTCACTCCTCTGCTCAGCAACCAACGTTTTGGTTTCCTTTTCCCTAAAGATAACATACCGTACATTTCTGGGAGAAGCTGATTCAGAATTTTGCTCTTTTATATAAATTGGATTAAATTTAAGAACACAGCATTTCATAGTAAGTAGAGTTATTTAGCCATATAAAATACAATTCATACTCTAAGGAAGTAAATAATTTAGATAATGAAGAAAGCATTAATATTTATTTCTGTATGGCCTTGAGCAAATTATTTCCTTTTTCTGGCCATAGTTCCCCATAAGCAATGGGATGATTTCTAAAACTCCTTCTCCTCTAAGTCCTATTATTTTATGAAAGCTAAGGAAGATCTAGATATAGCAAAAACTGGGAAAATGAAGGATAGGTCCACCCTTCTAAAGCAGGGACCTGTAAAGAGTCAGACATTTGGTCTAAATCATTAAATAACCATATAATTCCTTTGCTTTGGCAGTATGAAATAAGGTTCTAAAGAAATACCAAGGAAAAATAAAGCCATTTTGAAGCAGTAGCTGAGATACTTATTAAAAATTTTCATAAATTGATTCAACAAGGGGTCCTGACAGATTAATTCATCTGTACCAGGGATTTTCAAAGTGATAATGTCAGCAATAGATCTTTAGATGGTCTGCACTTTCGTTTCTTGCATAAAATAATAATTTACTTGTCATATTTGGCAAAAAATAAGACATTTTTAATGGTGTCTCAACTATAAAATATGTTTTTCTATTAATTGGGGTCAGGTTTGTTAGAGTTAGGGAGCAGGAATTTAAGTGGGGTAAGAGGTCCATGAGACACAAAACCTTTGAAAACCTCTTTGCTTAAAAAAAAAAGGTCTGCACTAGGAGTCGGGGGAGGGCACAATATTATCCACTGACCAAGTGGAGACCCTTCAGTAGACTGATATGTAAAGAAAAAGAGAATCCAGACTGAGTTTGGAGAACAAAAGAGATACTAAGAATTCAAAGCATAATTTTAGACCCCTTAATCTGAAGGAAACTGGTAAATAGCTTTATAGAAAATGACCAGATGAAATAGGGGAGAGGGACCTGGATATTATATGGCAGATTATTGAGTTATGCTCAGTGATCATTAGAAGATCATAGGATGACAAAGAAGAGCTATAGGACCAGACAAAGCCAAATGTCCCAATAGTCTATGAAGGGAAGTGAGTAAAGTAAACTATAGGCCAGGGAACTTGACTTCAATACCTGTTAAAATTATATAATATATTAGAAAAGATATGGCTAGTTAATATCTTGAAAGGGAAACAGTTATCATAAAGAGGCAGCATGGCTTCATTGGGCATAGATAGATCATGGCACACTAAATTATTCCACATTGTAACTCAAACAAAGATCAGGATATGGTTCCCTTGGATTTCAGCAAAGCATTTGATTTCAGCAAAATATATTATTCTTGAGGAGAGGTGTGGGCTAGGTAGCTCTGGAAATGATTGAATGACTAGAGCCAAAAAGTCATTTAAGGTTTAATGTCAGCTTGGAAGAAGGTCTTTAATGGTGTCCAAGGAATCTTCCCTTGGTTAGAGGTCAACCAGTACAGAGCTGTCAAACATGTGGCCCTCAGGCCACATGCAGCCTACAACACTCCTGTGTGGGCCAAAACAGATAAAAATGTAATTGGTAAATATTTAACAAAACAAAAATACAATAAAACATAGATATTAATATTAGCAGTTTTCTAAGTCGATATGCAACCTGTATAGTTGAGTGGCTTCATTTCTATTTGAATTTGATGCCATTGATCTAGCCTACACCCTCTTAAGCCCTCTCTACTTATAGATGAGGGAAGTGAGACTCCAAGGGGATTTAAATGACTTGTCCAAGGGTCATATAGGTAGCAATAATCAGAATTTGAACCCCTTCAGGGCCTCCTGACTCCAGAGTCAGTATTCTTTCCAGTGTACTACACTGGTTCATGACATAAATACTGTGAAGAAAATTTGGTTTTCCATTGAAATTTTTTCTTGGGTCACAAATTTCAGATACCTGGACCAAAACTTTAATGCTTTGCTGGTGCCAGTGGGGTTCGTTAGTTAGAATAAAGCTACAGAAGAGCTATAGATATTATATAATACATCTATTACTGATTAAAAAAAACTCTTACCAAAGATTTTTCACAAGTGGGAGGTCCCACTCCATGTCTCCCGAATTACTGTGACTTCAAAGCTCTGTTCTGCTTACATGTGGAAACAGGAGTCCCAGGTTGTGTTGCTGACCTCAGTAGGGATATAGATACATCGTTTCTTCCTACAGAGAAGCACAACTGACTAAAATAAGTCTGGTTATGAGATGTGCAGGAGCTGCTTCTTTTCCCTTGCCATTGTTTGTAGATGATTATCAGTTGAGAGACTTCATAAAAAACACAGTGCAGCTCCATACAGAGAGGTTTATATGTATATTTGTGTATATATGTAGGTATATATAATACTATAATTATATATAATGTATAACTATATAATTGTATATATTACTATAATTATATATACTATATAACTATGTGACTACAATTACATAATATATAACTATAATTATGACTATAACTATAATTATGTATATAATATTATATATATATTCATTTGTACTTTCTTTGGGAAAGAATAAATTAAAAAGGCCAGTAGCACAACCCTTTTGAATTAAAATCCCGTTATCATTTTTGCCTTATTTATAGTCATCCCACTTCATAATGTTTTTGTTTTAAAACCCAGAACACTAACAGCTTCACCTAAACCATGGAAATATTTAAACCAGCCATTTCACTGGCTGACTTGGGACTATGGGAGGAGAGACGTATGAAAATGAAATAGATAAATATGACTCAAAGGAGAATTGGTTAAAAACAAGTGTAAAAATAAAAAGCACTGTGGCTGATTATCCAATTGAGCAAAGAAGAGAACTACAGACTCAAAAAGACTTGATATCGTCTAGTCCAACTCATTTTCCTCTGAGTCATAAAGAAATGAAGGGTCACAGGGTCACATAGCCAGGGTCACATAGAGAATAGCAGAGCTAGGACTTTGTCTTATCTTCTTTATTTCACTACTCATTGGCAGACTAGAAACATTAATGGAACTGAAACTCATCTGTCTAGTTTCCCTTGTTAGTAACTGCTGGATATAGTTGAAATGCCTAGCTAATAATGAGGTTTGTAGCAAGGTGGATGTGGGCCGTGGTATCTACACTGTCCGATTCAGTCACCATGTCTGCTTGTTTTGCTTATTTAATAGGAGCAAGAGAAACTGGGGCATTTCCCATGGAGCTGGGCACATGTATTCTGGTCTCTCCTTCTGGGACCTGTGCTTCACTGAGATGACACCGCAACTCCAGATTGGTTCCCAGATATAGGGAAGGCATTGAAGATAACTTGCCTCAGAGTCAGGAGGAGCTATCCTCGCAGTGAACTACAAAAGGAACCAAGAAGAAACACTTCTCTTTCTTTCAGGACTCTTCCAGCTGCTGAAAGGTTGGATAAATCATGACAATAAAAACGTTTGCCTTGGTGAGCCCCAGAACTTGGCCACCTTCCTCTTTTTGCATTCTTTCGTACAGGCCAGTGACCAGCAAACTCGAGAAATGGATGTTTCTGTCCCTGGTGGCAACCTCATGAGTCCTAGAGGTTAAGAGGTTCTGAGCAGGTTGCTAACTGCCCAGCCAGAGATTATTTCCACAATAGCAGTACATCTCCAAGGAAAAGCACATCAAGAATGCCACAGGTAAAAACAACTAAGAAAGCCCAAGTCTGGCCAGGAGATACGGACTGTGCACGTTGCTCAAAGAAGGCAGGTCTGAGATGAAAATGAAATACCCATTTCATTAGTACCACAGTCTCCTTTTAGGAGACTCACATATGGATGGCGGGTAATATTGTTTTATGTTTTTGTATTTGTTAACGCACCTGATAGGGTTTCTGTGTTTTAAGCTATTTCAGTGGTAGAAGAAATAAAATGCTTCCTTACACTTGATATTCATGTTATACACTGGACTTTTTAGAAGGAACTCTGTTACCTGCTTTTTGTGAACATATGAGCAATACACTTAAATTGGTTTCATAAATTTCTCCATAGTTACTTCTGGGTGGGGGGCAATGAGTTATAAAGACAGAGAGTCATCTCTGGATAAACTGAGCCCACGTGAAATACAGAGAAGAGCCCCTTGTGGGAAAGGGACCCTCCTAGTCACATTTAAATGTTTTTGTTTGTTTGTTTTTGGTGACAAGAGAGGGAGGGGTGTGTTTGGAGGGTAAGGGTGGAGGAAGGAGAATTGGTTAAAAACAAGTGTAAAAATAAAAAGCATTAAAACTAAAAATGAGGTTTCTGTATAATTATTCAAATTATATATCAAATTAAGCTTCACAGAGCACTTTTTTTTTTAGCATTTAAGATCTCAAACTTTATTACAAAGTAATAATTGCTCAAACTATTTAGTAATGGTTAAAATAATAGAAAATTACACCAGTGGAGCAACTTAGATAAACCAAAACCAGAAGAAATAAAAAGTTTAATATTCTTTAAACCCAAGAACATTGTACTGTACTATACTGTAGTAATCTACAGTACTAACAATACTCTGGAAGGAATGATGAGGGAAATAATAATTGAATTGAAGTGGAGGAATCTTAAAAATGTGAAGATTGGATATAGAAACCAATGTTATTGTTTTTCAGTCATTTTTCAGTCATGTCCGACTCTTCATGACCACATTTGGGGTTTTCTTGGCAAAGACACTGGAATGGTTTGCCACTTCCTTCTCCAGGCCATTTTACAGATGAAGAAAATGAGTTAAGTAATTTGCCCAGGGTCACACAGCTAAGAAGTGTCCCGAGGCTAGATTTGAACTCATGAAGATAAGTCTTCCTGATTCCAGGCCCAGGACTCTATCCACTGTGAAGCCTAGCTGCCACATAATAATCAACAATGCATGACTATGTTTGCTGTCTAGACTGGCTTGCTCACCCTAACCTGTCTGAAGAGCACTTTTCTCACATGCCTAAGGGATGGGGGGAGGTAATACAAGTGTTATTATCCCCATTTTGTGGATGAAGAAACTGAGATTCTGTGAGGATAAGCGCTTCCCTTGTCCATGGTTCAACAGCTAAAAAGTGTCCAAAGCAGGGTATGAACCCAGGTATCCTGACTCCAGGGCCAATGCACATTCCATTGTGCCATGCTACCTTCTAAACCTAATATTAATAAATTCTGAACATTCGGATGAAGTCAATCACAGATCCTTGAGTACATAACACTCAAGGACATGTGGATAATAATCTGTGATTTCTTCCCTATGGGAAAAATTCATCTATATAGTTTGTACTTTTAGAGAGTTGCCTAAGGATAACTGATGAAGTGACTTACCTCAGGTCATAGAGAGTCAGAGGTGGGATTTGAACCCAATGCTTCCTGACTCCAAGTCCAACATTCCATCCACTAAAACCATATTGCCCCTCCTTTTCCCACATAACCTCAGGGAATGTTAAATCTGGCCTGTTTATCACTCATTATAATTTAATGTGAAAACCTGGGTTTGAGTTGCAGAGCTTTGTGGGCAAATGACCAAGGGCAAGTCTCTCAGTCTCTCTGAGTCTCAGAGTTTTGTATCTGGAAAAGAGGGATAATATAATAATAATGATGATAATAATGAGTCAAACGAAGGGGTTAGATTAGATGCTCTAAAGTTCTTTCCAGATCAAAATCCTGTGATTCCATGACTTACCTCATAGTTGTTGTAAAGGGAAGTAATTTGTAAATACATAAATGTGAGCTGTTATAATTATTCATTATTTTATTATACTATAATAAGTATAATTTTGAACTAATAACCCATTCCAGCAGTTCCTCATGGAGTTTCAAGATGATCTTGGGCTCTGCTACTTGGTATGCCAGTGTGGAGGGAGGCAGGAAGAGAGAGAGAGAGAGAGAGAGAGAGAGAGAGAAACTTGAAGAAGGGACCCAGTGACGAACATATGTCAAACAGGAACCAATCTTTTTGCCCCAGGATCCACCAAGTTGGATGCTAGGTGACGAATGTGTTGGCCACAGCAACTCCTGAAGACCGTGCACTAAGTTATAAGGTGGCGGCAGCCCGCAGATGGCTGGTGAGAGGTGCACTCACCCTGAGGAAATTTTAAGTATTGAGGCAAAGTAATTCTAATAAAACTAGAAAAAAATAACTGTCATAAGTCATATGCTGGGAGAGGCAGCACAAGGTAAAGAAACCTGCAGGCTGTACCTGGAGTCAGCGAGACCCAGGTTCAAATCCTGCCTCTAACATTTACCTGTCCTGTCAGTTTCCTCACCGGTAAAATGGTGATAAGAATAATACCTGTAGCACCTACCCCACAGTACCGTTGTGAGTTATGAGGTGTTACGTTTAAAAAAAAAAAGGCTTTGTAGCACTACAGAAACGTCAGTTATGATGATGGTCTCTTTTATGCTGCCCGGTGAAATCATAAATGACCTTGGAAATCCCTCCAGGAAACCACATTTTGGGGAAGGACAGAGGTGGGGGAGGGGGGTCAGTCTCGTTCGCCCCCACCCCGAAGTTGCTTTATTGTTTCTCAATTTTGGCCCTGGACGCGCTTCTGCCAGGGTGCGGGTGCGGGGAGGGCTTCCCTGACTGGGATCAACCCCCTTCCTGACCTGCTCCAGGGTCGGGAGCACTGATTACCTGATTGAGATAGTACAAACATACAATCAAAAATTCTCCTTCCGGGCTCCAAGGGTACAGGAAAGTGGGAGGAGGGGAGAAGCCGCTTGCTTATGGAGCAGCCTGGTTTCCCGTGGGAATGTCAGGGCACTTTGCCACCAGGAGAGCGCATCCTCTGCCGAGCTACGGAATGAGAGAGCTGAGCGGATCTGGAGACCCTTCTCTGCCACTGGCTTGCAGTCCGGCGAGTCAGACAATGGGGGTTACCAAGGCAACAGAACGCCGCGGCTGCTACTGCGGGGATCCTCAGTGCTAGGGGAAAACAGAACGCAGCCTTGGCGGTTGCCACGGCAACCGAAGGGAGGGATGCCCCGCGCGCTGGGAGCTCGGCTTGCTGGAGAGTGAGGGGGAGGCGAAGTGGGTTTGGGCACGATGACAGACGCTGGAAGGGATTAGGGTGCGCCCCACTTCCCACCCTTTCCTGTTCCTTGACCGCTTCT